AGTTGTCGGGACCAAAGGCTCGTGCTTTTAGCATGGTAAAGTGGAAATTTGGGCCAGTTGGTTTATTTCAATGAAAAATGCGCCGAAAAAATACAGGGACACAGACGAAGGGAAACAGAACGAGGCGCACTCTCAATTGCAGTTTATTGGAACTTCACACGTTATATAGCCAAAAAAACCCTGTTTACCCCATCTGCTCAGCCCGCGTTTCAAAAATTTTAACTCATTTGTAGATAAAGATAGGGACGTGTCACTTATATATTTCTCCTCCCTGGTCCTAATTTCATATGCCTCATGTAATTCTCGCGACACTTTATCTTTGTACCTAGCCAAAATCTTAGTGTTTGTTTGTAGCATAGGCTGCATCTGGACTTGAAGGAGGCATGCAAAACGTTTCTGGACTTTTTTTTTTTTAATTTGAATTGTTTTTGTTTGAATTAGTGGCTGGGACTCTAGCAACACATTCAAGATACAATAAACAAGAATCTGGCGTATATTGAACGTAACAGCTGAAAGAGGTTCAAAATTTTGAGCTCATTTTCTTTTGTTGATGACGTTATTAGTCTGAGCCAATAGACAACCTAAATGACAAAAGCGTAAAACAACCGTGCGCGACTCTCGTAAGTGTTGGAAATTGACATCCAGTTATGAAGATCTGAGCGTACCATCAATTTACGGGTGTTCCAAGCAAATATATGAGTGAGAGTCACGTGCTTGAAAGGATCAAAAGGGGTACTTTTCGCCTATATACCCAGTTCTACCTCTAGAATTTTGTCATCACTATCCGACGTTCTAGACCAATGTCGTCACTGAAAGCTCATGTTTGACACTGATAGGCGCGCCGTTCAAAGCAGCATTTGGTTATCTTCGTCCCTTTGCAATGCCCTTTTAAGCTGAAACAAACTATAGCAAAAGGGCCGGGATGTCCAAATTGTAAAGTTGTGCAGTGTATATAGCAGTGTCGCCATGATACTGCCACGCGCGTCGGCGAGTAAGCACGTGCATGGCTGAGCGGTCACCGCGCTTGACTTTCGCGTGGTAGGTGTAGGTACGACTCCCGTCAGGGAACCGTCGTTTTATTTATTCTTTCAATTTGGCCTTCTCGTAGGTTCGAGAACATTCTCGTCTGATCTAGTTCCGAATATTCTACGGACCGAAAGTTCTACGACGAATGATCCAGAAACCCACGAGGGTACAGTGCTAATCAGACTTGTCTATAACGCGCGAGCTTGCGGCTTTCTCCGGCGAGGGCTAGACTGGTGGCATTCGCGGAAACTAAGCTAGTCACGTGGCGTAACATGGAACGGCCCGCTCGAGGGGTGTCCTGCCCACTCTATCAGCTTGATAAGCGAAAAAAGTAAAGTGCTTTATGACATATTTTTGTTTTTTGATGACGACATTGTTGATACGCCTTCATGCTTTAGTTTGTTTATTGTACGAGCAATGATGTTTGTAAAAAGCGTGCGAGCAGCCTTCCGCGTTCGCCGCCAGCTGATAGAGTGGGCAGGACACCCCTCGAGCGGGCCGTTTCATGTTGCGCCACGTGACTAGCTTAGTTTCCGCGGATGCCACCAGTCTAGCGCTCCCTGGAGAAAGCAGCACGCTCGCGCGTTATAGACAAGTGTGATTAGCACTGTACATAAGGTACTCCGCAAGGCGAGCGGAGTCAGTTTTGCTCCAGCGTTCGACTCTGCTCCTACGCCGACTTCGTTGCTCGCGACGCTCTGCGATTATCTTTTGGCTCCCTTTTATTTTCTTTTGGGCACAAGTTCGTGCCATTAAACGTTTAGTTTCTTTAGTTATTATCGCCTCATCACTTGTCGTTCGTGACAATATGCTGCAGCCTCATAAAATCTTAGAGCGCGCATGACTGATAAAGCACAGAGTTGTAAAATCAGGCCACAAAACAAGTCCCGTAAAACCAAATATCACTTTAGCCTCCCAAGACAGTATTGTGTGAAGTTTCGAGCTTGTGCAATCCGGTGTCCTGATGTGATTCAAATTAGAAATATAGTGTCTGTTCTTTGCGATATTTATGTGTAATTAGGAACATTATTACACGCATCTCTACTAGAGAAATACGCACCACAATCAACCAAGTCCTGAACAGTAAGAAGTCTGACGTTTCAAAACCTTTTTTTTTTTTTTTATCAAGGGCGACAATTTGCACGTGGAGAGCAGCAGCTTCTTTTCTATCAACGGTGTGTCCTTTGCTTCACTCACGTTTTCTTCTTCAAGTGCCCTAGTCCGTTGAAACACGCCGAAGTTAAGTAGCTGTCGACCTATTAAGCCCGACCTATCATAACGTCGGGCCACTAAATGTTAGGACTTGGTTTGTGAAGGTCTGTATTTCTCAACTTTCTGACCCGACCAGACAGAGTTCCATCAAACGTGCTTTCGCTTAAAACATGCATCACTACTGAGATCTTTTTGCACTAAGGCGTCGTGTATTGCATTATTTAGAATAATATAATTTATTATCTCTCTCTCTCTGCACATTTCGTGCAATAGCCTTCAGACCTATAACGTGAGCATATAGTTCATTTTGGCATACCCCATGATCTGGTGTTTCACACTGCCAGACAGCGAACAAATAAGCACGTTCCGCAGGATCAACAGGTGGCGTATTCTCGAGTATCGCCCTCGCGTGTTGGTCTGAAGCAGTTATGTGAACTTCATACAGTCAAATTTATTGATGACAGTAACAAATATTTTCTTACTACCTGAAGACTTGACAACATAGATAAAGGGTCTATTACCATAAAGATATACAACATATGTTAATGCACCTACATATTATATAAAATATGCTCTGCGAATCTTTTCCGGCGTTTTTATCCTCGAGAGGCACGTGTATAAGTGATTTAGGAAAAACTTATGCTTTTTTTTTTCATTTTGAAGCTGATTTAAATAACTTGTGTTCCTGACGCATATTCAACTTCTCAAACATATAGAAGTCTGTTGCTTCGTTTATTTGATGAACAACAATTTCATGTGTCGGTGGGCTGGATGAAAACAAAGTAAATACACAGTGCCGCGTGGCAGAAGTATGATGATTGCGAGCGCAGATCGTCAGAAAATGACCAATTAATTAGCTTTAATGTCGAGTAGGCTATGAAAAACCACTTTGTTGTATTGAGCAACAAATCACCAATTAGCAAGGGTGATGCTTATTTACAAATTGGATTGACCGGCTTCTTGTCAAGAACAAACTCAAACGCCAAGCTATGTCGAAAAGGTACATTTCCATGCGTTCCATTTTAGGTCATATCCGAACTGCATACGAAGGTCACTCTTTTCTGCATTATTATTCGCCTGCATCACGGCGATTAGTGTAAACAATATTGGTCAGGAAAGCAAGCGTTGTGCTTGCCGCTCAGAGTTTCTATAAAAAGTAGACTGAAAAGATTTGTCCTAAAACTCTCCTGACACTTTGAAAACATTATTGCTTTAAGCTCGGTTGCATCGTCATCATATATATCGTAAAACATATTTTATAATCTAGATTTCAGTATATATATGGCGAGAACGTGCCCATTTTATGATTATATGCACTAGCTAATTTTTAAGTACAAGAGCACAGTAGGACTTGACTTTTAATACTGCGACGCAAAGCTTTACTAATCACGGGCATTTTAGACGACCCACCTGCAGACTGATAACCTTTAGATTAAGGTAAAATATGTGCGACTGAGGTAAAAAGAAATAGGTGTTGAGTCATATATGTTAATCTAGCTTTTCATTTACTGCTTCATCGAAATTAAACAACTCAATTTATTTTTGGTACGTGAAAAAAAAAGTGAATTCAACAAATGATAATGGCTATGTAGTTACTCGTTTCACTCTTGAAAAAAGTGCCTATTGCGAAAGGAACGCGGAAAATATATTCTCAGTTTAGCGGTTCAAACGGGTTCGAACCGGTTCAAACCGGTTTGAACCGTTATTTTTCGCTCCCCGGAACTGAACCGGAGCTGAACCGAAATCTGTGAACCCGAACCGGAACCGAACCGATAAAAATTTCGGTTCGACACTCTGGTTTCAATTTTAAGTTTTAAGAAGCAATTCAATTGGATTTCTTTAGTTTTAAGAACATACATGTTACAGCATAAGCGAGCAGAAAAATAAATGCATTAAGGAGTTTACCTACCAAATCGACGAAGGACATTGGGGTGCTCCAGTGAAGGGTTATAAATTATTACCACCTGTAAATTTTTGGGGTCATTACATCATTTCAAGTGGGAGGCGCTTATGCTGCGGTACCTCGAGCAGACTAGGAAAACTGCAATTCTTAGGCCAGGATCTCGCGTCAGAGGAACTAAGACGGCTATTTGGTTTTTCTTGTGAAGCCGAGGAACTAAATATTGCGGTACTGAGGATGAGTCTTAATTTCTGTTATGCAAAAGCTTAATTAATTTTCTTCTTGGTTACTACACATAAAAAAAAAATTCAAAACGATTAAATATGGCCCGGAAAAGCAATGCATTCAAGGTGATATCTATACTTAAAATACGCAAGGAAGCAGGATAACGGCCAATTATTGGTTATTTCAGAGTGATAGCAGGGCATGTCGTGCATACGTGTAATATAACATAAGAAAAAAAGATAACACGTTTTTTTTTAAAATTAACCACAGCCTTAGAATACTAACCGTTTTATTTTTAAGATTGAGCAATATCTCAATATACGTTGAATTGCTGGAAGTGTAAAAGAAAAACAAAAAAAAAGGTATCGTTAAAATTAATTGTAAGCCGCCATTTCAAAATTTTTAACTAGAATCTTTTAGTGGAATTTTTAATTTTATACCGATTAGTGGTACTTTCCCCCTTAACACTTTCATCCTTCCAAATAAAGGAAAGGAGAGTCGAAGTTACTTTAATCTTTTGCTCCTGAAGAGCCCAAAAAGATTCTTTAAAACGTGAAATATCAACACTGGCGTTACATTTGTTCACGTATCCCCAACAACCGATTGGTGGATGAAGGAGTGTTTTTAATATTTGTAGGAGATCCAAAGCACTCCAATACTGCTATATCAGTGCTACCGTAATGGTACAACTGTAGAACCAAAGGACGCCGTCAACTATACCGCGCTCTTTGACGGAACTACTCCGAACGATGCTGCTTCGAAAGGAAACGTCTGGTTTGCCATGAATGGTACTGAAGACAAGTACACAGAGTGAGTAGCGTGCTGTCTACTACATGTTGGCGCTCGTTCAAATCAGGATAATAGTATAGAACTGTATTTTCATATCACAGGCGTTCACGCCATGTAGGATGCTTTGACTAAAGGATGCTCGACTAAATAGAAACATATTGCGTTGTTAATATTTTAAATACTTATTTAAACCACTTTTGCGCGCATGTCCTTTTTGTATTTTTTTAGCATTGTACGTCACTCACGCTATGTCTCCTAATTAAGAGCCACCGTATTCCTGAATGAAATTAAATTAAAATAGATCAAGATTATATACTTTTATTTACCAACTTAATTTAGAAAAATAATGATTTTCCTGCAATAAGTTAGCAGTATTGCAAGTTTGTTGATGTGTGCTAGCCATGGGCAACTCTTTTTGCCATTGCAGATTAGCATTCACAGCGACGTACGACAGCAAGAGTGATATGATCAGTCTAGTGGCTTCAGGTATTGAACATCTAATCCACATTATTATCCCAAAGTTCGATAACGTTACCAAACATTGGGAAAAAATACGTTATCAAAATTGATTAAGAGAAGTTTTTGTCTAAAAATATACCCGACTTATTTAAGCAGCTAGTATGTTGAAATGTTTGATCCAGGGTGCCACAATCTGAAATCGTTAATATATTTGAAAATAGAACGCACATCTGTTAATGCTTTACATTAACAAGTATTCGCGACTGCCAATTTACTATCCCTGGATTAATATTATTTTATACTGTGTTCCCAATATTATTATACAGGAGGTCATGCTGAATATAATTTATGAGGTCATGCTGAATATAATTTCTGATACAGTCATGGTAATATCTGCTTGGTGATCTACGAGAATTAAAAAAAAAAAGAAGCGTATTTGCTCAAATAAAAGCTTTAAACATACACTTTCTGAGGAATATGACAAAATCAAATTTGAACTCGGTCGTTCTTTGGGTTTTCTAGTAGCTAATTTGGTTTAAAAACATGTCTTGAAGTCTTTTCTAAAACCCCCGAATACGAGATACGAACATTTGTGTTCCATTTTGGAGTTCTGCATGCACTCCTATTTATGAAAAGATCCAAACAATGCCAACTAAAATAGGCTGATAGTTTTAATAAATAATTATCCGTGTAATAACATATAATTTGTAAATTGTGTACCCGAGATGAAAGAGTTCCGTAAGGCGGAAGGATGTACTTAAAAAAAATAGTAAAGAATATTGTACTAAATCTGAGAGTCAGCACCTAAATTTCCCCTTAAAGAGCGCTTCCGTAGCAACGTACCCGAAGTGAAAAATAGTAATTCCAAACAGAATAATTGAATTTAGTTGCTAGACATGAATAATTAAAATTTAGTTTCGAAAGTCGAGATAAACTTTAGGAAGCAGTAATTAATAAAGATAGGTTACCTCGAGCAAGGGCTTGGCGAATGCGAGTAAGAGAGATGAGAGTATATCTTCACTACCTCTTTCGCTTCGTCGCGTGCATTTATACATATTACGATGATTGGGAGTCAGGAACCAGACTTTTACTTGATGGCGGGGTTTGATTGGAACTGGCCTCCACAGGCTCGTGATCGCTGCCGCTGCCGCGGCACCTCTGAGACAGCCCGTCTTCCTTTCTCTCGTGGCAATATTTTCAGAAGAGCTAGGCTAAAATATCTAATTACCCGTAATATTTTATTAGTGAAAATCCTTTGATATTTATTGTTTACAAAATACTGTCTTCATGCCAATAGTTTCTAGCGAACTTCACAACCTTAAGCAATCTTTAAAGGGATTTGTATACCTTTGCTAGATGGGCAGGAGTGCGTGAATATAGGCAACGCTTACCAGGCCCGAAGGATCGTGGAAAGATATTTTTCAGAGCTACGTTTTTGCGCACATTGAAAGCGCTCAATGTGAATTCTTAGATGGACTATATAAAGCCTGTGCTTTTCATAGGTTCATCTACCGATGAGAAGATTAGACTCGTGGAAAGCCCATTCCGGGGCAAGGCGTATTTCGTGAGTAAGTGGATCAAATGCATAGAAACTCTTTCTATGCCTTTTATGCAGTGCGACCGTTGATGTGTTTTTTCCACTGAAGTTTCTGTCCGTTCAAAAGAAAGCAATGTAAATGTGATTTTGTGCACACGCATCAATTTTTAATATTTTAGAAACTTCGGCACTTCATTTAGTGGTTTGCAGACCTATTTACGCAATGCTATGTAGTCTCATACTTTCGACGGGTGGTGGAAATAGAACTGCTATAAGTGTTAATCGTCGGGTGCCATATGAACCTTAAGCAAGTGCAACTTTTCCTGCCTGTGATAGTGAGCATAAAATGTATCGGATTACTTTCGGCCTGTGTGCACTGTAAAGAGAACTTTGAAGTTGGCTTCTCTGTAGACAAATGAACCGAACGCTAAATTAATTATCGGAAGAAACTTGTGTACAATGCTTGGCAGTGTATTTTTTAATATTGTTTGCTGCAGTACTGTATGTTGTGCTCGTGCAGAAAATCGTGCAACGGGACATGCTCGCACAGTGAATCGTACAGTCACCACTGCATCCTGCGCTCGTGGAGTAAAATTCTTTGACTCTCATCATGATGATCATCATGTCGTCACTTCTTTATGGGATACGATGAAACGATTTATGCACATAAACTCAAATGAAAATTAACGAGCAATATATTCATGTAATGTTTACGAAACACTCGCGCTACGCTCCAGGAGGAGTAAAACAAGCCAAAAACAAGAAATATAGGCGTTATGCATATATTGTCAAGCATTGCGAATGCAACAATAAAATACAACTACTACACACACTTTCACCCCATATGTTTTATTAGGTGACATCTTGGACTGATCAATACCACTTACGTTTTTTTCTAGACGAAATGTATGACGGCCAACCCGCCAGCAAGATCTACGACGTGGACAAAACATGCGTGAACGCTGCGGCAAATCTGCAGGAAGCGTGTCCCGACGGCTGCGGCATGCGACTGGTTCGAGAGGTCGGCGCAGTCGAACAGTCGGGAGGAATAACAGATGTCATTACGTCTTCTGCTAGAGAGTTATTCTGTCGCACTTTTACCTTTCTTTGCTAATCCTTGTCTGACATAGAGATCACGTATTTACCAGGTAGTATCTTTACCTGCGCTTGAATAAATATACCTTAAAATACCGTGGAAGAGCTCGCCCCACTTTGACTGGAAACTGGGTTAATTTTAGCATGGGGGCTTCTCCGATCGAATCAGGGGCTTAACGTATAATTTGCAGAACTTCCAAGTTTGGGAAATGTTACAAGTGGGTGCTTGAGCGAAGTGAGCACTTCCGTGGTATTTTACGGTAGTTGAAATACGGCTTTATAATATCTAGTCCAGATAAAGTTGTGTATAATTACCGCTTTAAAGAGAGTTTAATAGCCCAATCAGACGGGCACGCTGAAGGCCTTGAAAGGCGAATTCTCTTAAAGAGTTTGGTGAACCGGCGCACACCGATAGGCTCGAAATGGTTAGCTCATTCGCCTATTCTCTGAACGAGCTAATTCTGAATACCTTTGAGGTGCCTGCTTGTGAGTTGCTTAAGTATGCCTGTTGCACATTTTCCAAGACGAGTGTTTGTATTCCAGCCAGTGCACTAATGGTTAGCTCAGTTCTCGTTCTGGCAATACGGCGTTGGCTTCCGAGGGTTGCAAGAAAGAACGTCGATTTATTAACCTCTAAAGCCACTTTAGTATTAGAAAAATGATAATGGTGGTATTGATAAAAAAAATTTCATCAACATTCGTCAGTGCGAGTCAATTTCATCAGTTCGTGCGTAGAAAGGATCAGTGGAAGCTGCGAAAACAACGGTTGTGTCAGTCAACAGTTGTTGGAAAACAAAACGGATAAAAATGTTTCTGTAAGAGCTGATTTTTGTTAGGTCGGTGGCTTAGCGAATTTTGTACTAAGAGCACAATAAATTTTTGCTTCTTGTAAATGGACAAGGCAGGCTCTGGTTTGATATCTCGCCGAGATATTATTATTATTATATACTGTGATAACGCAAGCGCGGAAAGCTAGACGGGAATATTTCCCAAGTGCAATCCTCAGGAGTGAAGCCGTCGTTAAAATATAAATTCATTACAAACAAGTGTACTGTTGCTGAGGATACAAGACACTTCATTATGACCAGTTTAAATTAATTTATATTGTTATAAAATATTTTGAAGGATCAAAACAAGTATATTGTTGGTTCTAAAATAGTAGCGAAACTTTAAGGGTCACGACAACCCCAACATCGATATATATATATTTTTTTAAATATTGAAAACGACTGAAGAGATCTCCGGTACAACCCCAAAAATGTCAAGCTTGAGAACTGCGTATTTGCAGAGAAAAAAACATATTTTCAGAAAGCTTGGTTTGAAGCGCACTCCACAATCTATGCCGTAGTTAGCGAAATAGTCCACTCCCTGCCTCTTTGAATGAATTAAAAGAGGAAGTAACGTTTAACTTTCTCTCTTTGTCTCTCATCGTTCACGGACATACGCACGTGCCACTCGGTCAATCGCAAAAGTATAGGGTGTCTGGAATGCCGAGGATAGATCTAATATGGGCCGTAAAAAAGTAGGGCCGAAAAACTTAGCAGGGTCAACAACGAACGGCGACGCAGACGGCTGAATTGGGTGGCGTGGCGCGTTTGGCGCACGTACTTACAGATTACATGAACGTTCTTTTTCGATTGGCTTTTAAAAATATCGAGACTTCCTGCGCAGCCATGGTAGACTAAAACGAACGTATATTATTAATGTACAGTGCGCCTCAAACTTAACGCCACCACGGCATTTGCCGTTTCTGACAGTTCCTGCGGCGGCTGATTGAACTATCTGAAGAACGTTTGGGTTCCCGATTTCTGTCTCATCCTGAGAAGCCATCCCGAACTTTTTGGTGACAAATTTAACAGTAAGTAGCCGACACGAGCTCTATGTTCATGAACCCAGCGGCGGCGTTAAGTTTGGGGTGCACTGTACAGTCGGGGACAAAAGTCCCCAGGACGTGCGAGCTGCGGCTGAAACGCATTGCTCTGCTATCTGCCGGCGGGTCGCCGGGTTTCGAGATCACAGAAAAGCGCATGCGCGTCCTACTCTGCCTGCAAACATGTCTGTTTTCCCGCTCTTCTGCGGCACAGCGCCTAACTCGGAATCGGGCGCGTGGTACGGCCTCGGAGATAGCGCTGGCGGCTGACGAGCGTCTGCTACACATTCCGAAACTCGAGATACCACCTGAGGCATTGCGCCGCTATTCGCCGTGTCAGCGCGCCTTGCTTTATAAAAAGTTCAGCTTATCGCTCAATTGAGCTGCCGTGACTTCTTGCTTTATTGGTGCCATGTCAGTAAGCGCTATCTCCGAGGCGGTACCACGCGCCCGATTTCGAGTTAGGCGCCGCGCCACAGAAGAGCGGGAAAGCGCACATGTTGGCAGGCACAGTAGGACGCGCATGCGCTTTTTTCTGGTCTCGAAACCAGGCGACCCGCCGGCAGATGGCACAGCAATGCGTTTTAGTCGCAGCTCGCGTGTCCTGGAGACTTTTGTCCCCCACTGTACCTTTGGTTAAAAAATAAATGCGGGTACATGATAGCAAAACTTGAAGTATCAAAAATATAAGTAACCGCGGTTGCATAACTACGGCTGTTTTGCTGCCGAACGATTTCACCTGCGTGCCGTCTGCTTTCTTTCGCTAATCCGGTAGCGCCATCTATCAGTACGTGCACCAAACGCGCTCCGCCAGTCGACTCGTCTGCGTCTCCGTCCGCCGTTTACCCCGGCAATTTTTGTGGCCATATCTTTTTATACAAGGGAGCTAAGCCTTGTAATTTCACGAGGTAACACCCACCTCTGAAATACACCTTCGACGAAACTCTTAGATTGCTACGTGCAGGCGCCAATTTTTACGATCCATTTTAGATCGGACCTCGACAATTCAGACACACCAGATTTCGCGAGGCCCTTCTTCGCGCGCAGAGACGTGTCTCTTTTTAGTTCCTCTTCTATAGCAGTGTTAGTGAGTCTAAAACGATTAAAAAAAGAAAAGAAGAGAGAAAACGATGCATAGCAGACCTTGGTGAGCAACGTGAGGGGCGAAGTCGCATAGGTGCTTCGTGAGGGTTTATCCGAGAGGTTATCCGGCTGTCATGATTTAGAAAAAGAAAAGGAAGAAAGACAAGGGAAGAAAAAGAAGAGCGGTATCGCGGGTGCGAAGGGATTCGAAGCTGGACCAAGAGCCCCGGCGGTTGGCTGCTCGAACGGTGCGCTGCCCGGCTCCGTCCCGGCGTCAGTGTGCTGCGCTACCCGGCTCCGTCCCGGCCCCAACGCGCTGAGAATCAACGAGCCTGGCTCCGTCCAGGCTGCAGGGAAGCTGAACTTCAACGTAACCGGCTTCAGCACGGTGACCAGCAGCGCAACCGGCTCCGTCCCGGGATCAAGGCACCCGTACCCGAGATAGCCAGCCCCCTCCCGACATCGCCGCCCGCTCTACTTCACCAACGATCAAGGGGGCGAACCATCAAGGCACCAGCGGCCCGGGCTACGACCCCAGGGGTGACTATACTGCCTACCGAACGTGCTTGGACGGTCGAATGGTTTCTTTTCTTTTGCCTTTCTAACGTTGCCTTTTTCTTTTTAATTTTACTTCCTGACTTGAATATATATATATTTGTTTTTTCCTCACGCATTTGTCTCAGTCTCCCGATCCTTCCTCTCACCACCCCGGACGAACCTGACAATTTGGCGAGCCTGCCAGGATAGCTGGCCCATTACATCATAGTCACATCTTTTTCCGGGGGGCGAGAAGGGTGAGGGAGATTTGGGTGGTATTTCAACGATGGAAACTGACAAGTTAATCGCGGTAGCGAAAGAATTAGGCTATTCCGGAGCAGATTTGAGGAAGTGGGTGGATGAGGAGAAAGTCCGGATAAGAGCAGAAAGAGCTGAGGAGCGCGAGCACTCGAGGTTAGAACGGGAGGCTGCTGACAGAACTTTAGCGGCGGAGTGCGCGAAACTGGACAAGGAGCGGGGGGTGCTTCAACTACGAATAGCAGCGCGCGATAATTCACGTAACAGTTCAGAAGATGTGGAAGGCGCGCGTGAGGAACCACCAGGCTCCAGGAGCTTTGGGAGCCCACATAAGCTCATCCCGCAATTTAATGAGCGTCGAGACGACCTAGACGCATACTTGCAGCGCTTTGAGCGCACTGCAACAGGCTTAGGATGGCCTCAGCAAAAGTGGGCCACTAATTTGGGGCTTTGCTTAACCGGGGAGGCACTCACGGTTGTCGGTCGGATGACACCGGCAGATGCGTTGGACTATGCCAAGGTGAAGCTAGCACTCTTCCAGCGGTTTTGTTATACCAAAGAGGGATACCGCGACAGGTTCCGAGAATCCAAGCCGGAAGACGGCGAGACAAGAAGACAGTTTGCGGCCCGATTGGCAGGGTACTTTGATAGGTGGATTGAGATAGCAGGGATTGATAAGACTTTTGAAGCATTGCGAGACAATGTCTTGGTGGAGCAGTTCTTGCTGACTTGCTCAAGCAAGCTGGCAATATTTCTAAGAGAGCGGGACTGTCAAGGTTTGGATGACGTGGCAGCTAAGGCTGACCTGTTTTTGGAGGCTCAGGGACAACCTAGCACAAGTAAACAAAGAGGAAACGAGATCGGAAATAAGCAAAGTGCCATAAGCGAGGGGAATCGCAGAAAAGGTGAGGCTCAAAAAGGCATCCGCTGCTTCTTGTGTGGAAAGTCTGGGCACAGAGCAGAAAACTGCAGGAGTAGTGCACAAGGAAGAAGGGTTCTGCTGTGTTGGAACTGTGGTCGCAGTGGTCACAAGGCTGACGCGTGTAGAGAAAAGCCGAACGAGAGACACCAAGCTTCATGCCTCTGGACGATGTCTCCAGGCAACTGCGACAAGTCAGATGACTGTTGCGTCACCTTGAGTAATGGCGATAAGATTCCAGTTGTTAACGCTGCCATGGGGAGGGCCCCGAAGTTCTTAGTAGAGAACATGCCCGTCGTGGAAGGTCGTCTCGGGGACCATAAGATATCGGTATTAAGAGACACCGGATGTA